ACTTGAGATATCCCAATGTGGATAATTATTAGCTATATGGAAGCAATTATATTTAAAACAAATTGGAAATGTAAGCATAAGCTCTAGTACCAGAGGCAGGCATGAGCTGGTGTTACGACATGTGACTATGAAATATCATGGTGAATAAGCTTGGTTTCTAAGTTGGGTAACAATATTTCTGATTAAAAGTAGGTGTGGCGTCATCAGGAAAATGCAAATTAACACCACGATGAGAAACAACCCCACGCCCACTGGAAGGGCTAAACTTTGAAAGACCCGACGATGGATAGCAAGTGTTAGCAAGGATGCAGCATCTGGAACCGTCCCTCATACGCTGTTGGTAGGACTGCAGAACGGTAAAAGCACTTTGGAAAACAGTGTCGTAGTTTCTTATAAAGTGAACCATAATCTTACTAGGTTAGTGACCTATTGCTATGTAATAAATTACCCCCAAATTTAGTGGCTTAAAATAGCATTAATCTTTTTTTTTTTTTTAACTCTCATGGTATCTGTGGGTCAGAAATTGAGACAGAACGCAGTTTGCTCCACCAGGCCTGGGCCCAGCTGGAAGATCGAAGGCTGAGATGAGATCACCCGAGGGCTGATTCATTGACACGTCTAGATGACGCTGGTGTTGGCTGGGGACCATTGTTTGGAATACCCACACATGGCTTTTCCACACGTCATGGGCTACCTGACAACACTGTGCCTGGGGTCCCAGGCAAGCCTCCCAAGGGAGAAAGAGATAGAGATAGAGAGAGAGAGATCCCTGAAAGCAGGGATCATGTCTTAGCCATTTTTATACCCTTATAACAGCTGCAACCTGGGAAGCAACCTTGTAATTTAACAAGCGCATTTTTCAAAATGGGTGTGTTAGCCTGTGTGACGGTTTACTTTATGCATCAACCTGGCTGGGCCACAGTGCCCAGATATATGGTCTAATGTAATTCTGAATGTTTCTGCCAGAGCATTTTCGGATGAGGTTAACATTTAAATCGGTAAACTTTGAGTAAAGCAGATTGCTCTCCATAATCTGGGTGGACCTCATCCAATCAGCTGAAGGACTGAACAGAACAAAGACTGACCTCCCCTGGGCAAGAGGGAATTCTGCCAGACACGGCCTTCAGAGTGGACCTGCAACCTTGGCATTCTGGATTCTCTGGCCTGGCAGTTCACTTTGCTGATTTTGGATTTGCCAGCCTCCATAATCACAAGCCAATTCCTTAAAATAAATCTCTCTCTCTTACTGGTTCCGTTTCTCCAGAGAACCCCAAGTAATACAGCCTGGTTCTATAGTATTACCAAAACCATGGACTTTCTCGTCCAGAAGTTTTTGCTCTTGCTTCGTAACCACAAACGGGATTTTCAAGTAAAATATTTCCTGTGCTATTTCCCAATGGTAGACAACGTGCCCCTAATATGAGCATTTACATGATGGCTGTAAAGCCTTGTGGCAAGGTGGCAGTTCTCAGTGGTCTTCTGAGGAGGACGTGGACAGGAGCCATTACATGGCTCGTCAGTGAGCTGTTGAGGAGAAGCTGTGCTCATCAGCGCAGAAGTCAATCTTTCATTACTGGAAAATGTGAATCAACTCAAGTGAAACTGGGTTCTGTCAGCTTATAAAACTTAATTATGTTTTTAACTCCATAAATTTGTCCATGTAAAGATATCCGAAAATACCTAACTTCCAGTTTGAGCTGACAGAGAATTAATTGCAAGAATGCAAACGCACACGGTGTGTGAGGAAATTATCTGAATTTCTTAACTGTGTCTTCCGGCAAGGGCGTGTGCTTTAAATTTTTGTGTCAACTCTGCATCAAACTTGCTCAGTTTCCTCTTATACAACAAACCCCAGATCATTCTAAACTTTCAGAATAAGAACATTCCCCAAAGAAAAGAAATTAGGGTGGGGGAAAAAAATCAGTACGTGACTTAAGTTGTGCACCCTTGTGGAGTTAAGAAAAACATTTCAGCAGGAGGACAAAGGCTCCCTTGTTTAAGTGCTTCCCCAGCTGCACTTCAACTAAATATATCCTGGGCAGAGTGTTTTCATTTCTCCACCCCTCTCCTGGAGCCAATCACAGGGTGACAAACAGCTCCAAGGTCCCCAGGGACTGGCACTGCAGAGGTACTGGCTTGGTTAAACGATCTCACCTTTCTTTCCAGCACCGGCTCTGCGGCAGCCCTGTCCCCCCGGGGGCCACCGGGGGCCACCGGCAGCCTGGGGCAGGCGTGCTGCGGGCTCTGCTCAGCTCTGCTGGGAGAGGAGGCCTGCAGGGGTTAACTGAGCCGCCTCTGTCTGGAATTCATGCACCACCTGGGCCGACAGCATGAATGACTCATTGTTTCCCCTCTGAACAGTCTGAGGAGTGCTTCTCGGTGTCAATAACTGAGGCAAAGTAAAAGGGTTTTTTCCCTTTCAACATAACCATTTTTCTAAAACTGAGCATAGAACTGGAAATCTGGAGAGTGCGTTTCTTCTGCAGCAACCGTAGCCAAGGTTACTGCTCTGAGTTGGTCTGTGGGGACAAAGGATTTAAATTTACTGTCTACAAGCAGAAAGAGGCCTAAAGCCAGGGGTCCTTTTATTTACGGCTTATGTGACAGTCCTATGAAAGGAAGCAAACTTAGCTTAAACCTCCAGTCTGCCTAAACCTGTGGGCTGACTGAATACTAGATTTTATGTTACTCTCGATTTGCAGAAATGGAAATTTTGACTGTACATTTCCCATAGTTAAATTTAAGACATGTATGCATTGAAGTCCAGCTATGAGACTTCCACACCCTTATTTCTAAAGGAGTGTATTCATAATCATGCCCCACCTCCAATTTTCCACTATGGCACCCTTCCTTGTTTGCAAAAGCAAGATTGACGCTCCTTGCGAAACTAGCCTGTAGGTTTTCCTGGACTGTGTCCTCTTTAGCCTTTCATAAGTATATCTCAGCACCAAAGCTTGAGAGCCAGACCATACAGACATTTCACTACTTTTCTGCAAGTGGGTCACAGACAACATTTGAACTCTTGTTTCTATGGCCTCTTCCTTCTACTTACCTACATGTTTAGGTATTCAAAGGAGAATGTTTAAAAAGGAAGATATGGAAAAAAGAAAGAAATATAGAAAGGAAAGGAAAGAAGTCCTATGTAGATTCAGAGTCTAGATTCTAAGTTGAATCTAGGAGGTTAGCGTGCAGCAGAATGTTCTCATCAAGCCAAGTAACAGCCCTGAGTAGATTCCAAGTCACTCTGACTTGAAATAAGGATGAGGAGAGTTGACCCTGAAGAAGAGGGGATATTCATGGCATAGGGAGATTAAATAGGGCGCTAACAAAAAGGCAGTCAATGCCTTTATTTTAAGCCCATGTACCCTTTACATTTCTGCAGTAATAGGAGACGGGTTTGGCTTTGGCTGGTTTTGTGTGATATATGGGGCTACTCTACCCCATGGATGGAAACTCATGTAGATCCTGAATTAGAATCAACATAAAAAATATTTCCCTCTCTTTCAAACCTGTGCTATAATTTAGCAAATTGAGTATCTTTCTTTAATTGCCAGTATCCTTAAAAGAAAGTCAGGTATCAAAATATTTTCATTGCCCTTTTTGAAGCTAATGAAAAGCCACAAAGATTAAGTATTTCTGCATTTCTGTAGACAGGACACAATTATTGCAGCACGCTGAGAGACACGGCAATAATCAAAGCTTCACCTTCACACATCTAACCACCAGTAAACGTGCAGTGCTCTGAACAAGCCTGTTTTCCATCACGTGCAATTAATCTATTTGCCAATGAGCTTCCTTAGCTACTAAAGATTTTTGGTCCTTGTTCCAATGCCACAATCAAGCATAGCTGGTGAAATATCTGGAGGACTGTGACTTGAGACAAGCACAATAAACACAACCCTACTACATGCAATATGGTTTGGGTCTTCCAACAGGATGAGATTTAAAATCTCTGGGCAGCCTCTAGCCTTTGAGACAGGCGGCATTTCCATTTTGTCATCAGTACAGCCATCTCCCCTCGTCTCTACCGAGTCTTTTCATCAACACACAGGTCTCAGGACTCCACCTTTGCTTTAGGTCCTTCTAGAGGGTGGTGGGTTCATTCTGCTTTTCTCAAGTGCAAAATAAATGCAATTTGCGTAGCTGATTGTTCTCTCTCCCAGTGCAGAGAACTCTTTCACCGTGAGTTTAACAAACGTAAAATTCTCTGATGCACCCTTCCCCTTGGGAACCCCTGGGGCATACCTTCCACTTGTCTGTAAGTGGGCCTAAAAGGAAAACTGGGGGTTCTTACAGACAGGGTATGCCCGATTCTACTGTGAAGCTTTTCCTAACTGGTTCCACCCAAACCACTGCCCTAATAGGTCTCCACATTTGGAAAGGAATAATATGGCCAGGCAAAACAATAATTTAGGGGCTGGCCTGATGGCGCAGCAGTTAAGTGGCCATGTTCTGCTTCGGCGGTCTGGGGTTCGCTGGTTTGGATCCCGGATTGCGGACATGGCACCGCTTGGCACACCATGCTGTGGTAGGCGTCCCACATATAAAGTGGAGGAAGATGGGCACGGATGTTAGCTCAGGGCCAGCCTTCCTCAGCAAAAAGAGGAGGATTGGCAGCAGTTAGCTCAGGGCTAATCTTCCTCAACAACAATAACAAAAAACCCAAAAAGAACCCCCAATAATTTAAGGACCTTAAAATCTCAGGCAAGGAGAAGGGAACAGATGACTTGAATCATATTTCGTGATGTCACAGCATGTTTGGAAGAGAAAGCAATACTTTACCTTGGCTCCCTATTATCATTCCATACTCAATAATGCCATCAAAAGACACAAGGTGTTCAGAAAGATTCTCTATTCCATTAAACCAGATAGGATTCGTGTTCAAACAATGTAACTCTAAGCTATGAAAATGTAGAAGGAAATAATAATTTAAAATCCTCCTTGAAAACAAAAGCTCTATTAAGCAAATCTCTGGAATTAAGAACAATACTTGTAACTTCTTTAACATGTTTTTATTATCTTGGTTGATTTTATGTGATACAGAACATCAATATCCTTACTCTGTACGTGCATCAGTATTTCTTATCTCACTGGTATTTAAAGAGGAAAGATAGTATTTATTTAGACGTTCATCTTTTTTGAGGGAGTTTAGCCTTGAGCTAATATCTGCCACCAATTCTCTTCTTTTTGCTGAGGAAGACTGGCCCTGAGCTAACATCCATGCCCATCTTCCTCTACTTTATATGTGGGATGCCTGCCACAGCATGGCTTGACAGGCAGTGTGTAGGTCTGCACCCAGGATCCGAACCGGTGAACCCCGGGTCGCCAAAGCCAAAGGTGCAAACTTTACCGCTGCGCCACCAGGCCAGCCCAAGACGCTCATTTTTATATGTAAGCATTGATAGCAACAGGACTAAGAATCTCCTCTTGTTTCTAAGTTTTACAAAATAGTTCTCAGTTTTACCCATGGAACATTGTCTATCATCTATAAGGTGTGGATAATCCTCTGGAAAACTGCCTGCATGAAGTGAACTTTGTTGTGTGCATTCTATGCCAGTGGAGTCACTAAGGACAAAGGGCATATTTATGACCTTATCTCACTGGATTTTGATAAGGTAGTTGCTATAGGAACCTGAGTATCATGTACACACCAAACCAAAACGCAGCACACGTTACAAGAGATGTTCAGGGTGAAATGGAAGGATTGGCTAAAGGTGGTAATATGTGAAGTCGTTTAAGTAGTCAGATTAAAAAGTTTGGTATCTTAACCATTTGCTGAACTTGTTTTTCTTTCCTTCCTTCCGTCCTCCCTTCCTCAAACAGCTTTTGAGTCTCTACTCAAAGGGCCAAAACCTCAAATAGCTCTATCTTCCAGGAAGATAACGTGAACAAGCAAAGCAGGGGGAGACAGACACATTTCATGTGCCTAATAAACACAGAGGCAATTCTTCATTCCTGCCAAGAAAGGAGCTCTCTCCCATTATTCTTGAAAGATATTTTAGTCATCTTCTCTCCTTTGGTACTGAGAAATATGTCACTCCAAGAAAAATGTCAGCGCACACGCAGGATAAATGACACCTCATACTTAGCCTCAATGGGGAGGCGCTAGGGAGTGGCCAGGCTGTGATGAAGTGGAGAGCTCGTGTCCCATCTCAAGTGGCCCATGTCTGCACCAGGTACCTGCTACCATGTAGAAATAGGCGCAGGGTGGCCATATCTTATTCTTCAAGAGAAGTCAAAGACCTTGCTTTGTATGTAAAACCAGATTTGAAAATGTGACCTGAAACTTCTAAAAATAAATTTTAAAAAGAGCCAAACAAAACAGTCTGGCGGGCTGGATTAGGCCTGTGGGTCACCAGTTTGAGATGTCAGAGCCACTCATTTAAGCACCCTGCTGTGAGGTGCTGGGAATACAAAGATTAAAAAAAAAGATCTTTGCTTTCAAGTTTATGCACTAGTACATTAAAGATGACTACACACACCTATCTATGGGCGTGCTGTAATAGGGGCAATTACCGAATGGTCTGGGAGCCCAGGGGAGACCAAACCAGATGCAACTGAGGGAGAAGGGAGGCGGGTCAAAGAAGGATTCCAGAAGGAGCTCGCTAGTTGAGCCAAGCAAGCAGACACGGTGCAGGAAGGTGGTCCAGGTTGAGGTTATCAGGACATGCTAAGGCACCGAGGCCATAAGCAACCTGAGCCTTTTGTTCAAGAAGTTAAGGTAGGCGTTTGAGGTGTAGGAGGTCAGAGGAGGAGAGAGGTGCTCCCTGTCAGGCATCTCCAGGGCTGTGCAACCAAGAGGGAGGACGGAAGAGCGAAGACTGAACTCACAAGAACATCAGAGCCAGTTGTCCGTGCGGCACTTCTTCCACGTCCTCATGATCTGGTGCAGCACGCACGTTCACTCAGCATCTGCTAGAAATTATATGTAAATTCAAACAAACCAGGAAGTAAGAATTTGAATCAAAACAGAAAATTTAACTCTCAGCATTAGGTAATACACTTCTCCCGGCTTCCTACTATTTGGCTCATTATGATGTCTGTGAAACGGTGACTAGAGAGGTGACAATCTGAACGTAAGCCGACTTTTTTGGATTGGAAGAGCTGCCCGGAGTAGTCTCTGTATCCTGTGTCACAGTAAATACAAGTCTAAATAAATAAATAAATTTCCCTCATACAGAAAGGCAAAGAGACTCCCCTCCCTTGTTTTCAGCATTTACTTTAGAAAATTCGTGACTGTAAATTCTTCTCTGCCCCTTTGAGAAGTATGTGAACCTTTGTAAAAGCTAAATAAACCTCCTGCCAGCTTTACAGCCCAGGAATGTCCTTCTCAGTGACCTGGGAGCCATCTCTTTGAGATGTAATCACCAGGGATTCCTACATCCCAGTTTCCTTGGGAGGGCAGGAGCCTAACTTCGCTGGGTGCCTGGTTCCAAGCTGCAAACCCACCTCCTGTCATAAAAATATAACTTTATTTTTCCTCTGGATAAAGCTAACTAGCTAACATAGATTACCAGCTACCAGCTACCAGTTTAGGACGAACTATGTGTGACAAATAGTGCTGTCAAGTCCTCTTACTTGAGGACTAGTTATTGTTTATCTTGAGACCAGGTATGTAACAGAGTGTCTCTGCTTAGCTTTGTAAAAGGGTAAATTTCTGTCTGTCTTTGCAGTCTCTCAGAGGATTGCCTGTGATGCACATCATATTTTGGTTTAATGCTTATTCCATAAGAAAGCTGTTTTCTTTCCCTTCTGCTTTCGTGGAGAGGATTTTTGGGTTGACAGGAGATTTTTTTTTTAACTATATTCCCCCCAAGCCTGCCACGAGGGTCGGCTAGGTTTGGTCTTCCAGCTCAGAGGATGGTAAGTAGCTAAATGCCCTGATACAAATGTGAAAAGTCGATTCACAAGAAAGAGGAACACATTTCACGGAAACAGACTTTCACGCTGCTCCCCGAAAGCGCTGCAACTCGTACCCCCCGCAGGATTTGCAGACGCGGCGCCGCCCCAAGCTCGGCTTGAAGCCTGGTTCCACCATTTACTGGCTGTGGCGCCCCAGACAATTACTTAACCTCCTGGTGCCTTAGTTTCTCTATCTGTAAAACGGGAGATAAAATAGGGTTCCCTCCCTCATAGCACAGTGCTCGGCAGAGTCAAAAGCGTCAATAGTTAACCTGCATTACGTTATTTAGCAATATTATTTGAAGGTTTGTTATAGGCAGAAACACTTCTGGGATAGAAAGATGAATAAAACATAGTTCCTGTCCCCAGAGGAATTTACAATCTTAGAATAATTATAATGCAGCCATAAGATTAATCTGGGTATAAATAACCTATCAAGAAAAAGAAAAATAGAAAAATTAACAGGTGTGTTTAAAGGGGGGCGGACACGGCCAGGGCTAATATCCTAATTGAGCTCCACATAATTATATGGTCTATAGTTAAGCGTCATCGTCCAGTTTAAATCTCAAAAGACTTCTTCCTGAGCTAGTTTAACAGGAAAAACCAGAATTCTTATCAAAAGAAATGAATGTATCAGCATTAACTTTGAAGCCAAAAGCCCCGCCAGGGAAAGGCTGAGAGACGGTGACCTGCATACCTCGAGGCATTCCCTGATTTTTCTCCCATCCAAACAACCTAACTGAAAGGATTTTTGTGAAGTTATAAAAGTAAATAAATATTGACACTGGACACTTAAAGCCAGCCATACAACTCCCGCTTTCTCCTAAGCTCAAGGGTGTTCAACTGGCTTTGTTCCCAGAGTATTAAGAGAAGAGTCGGAGGCCATCTTGGAAACAAAAGGGCTTCGGGCGCCGGGGGAGGCGGAGGCGGTATCCCGGCAACGGGAGGCGCGCGACGCACCGCGCAGGCGCACTCCGCAGCGCCCGGCCGCCCGCCGCGTGGGCGGGGCTGGCGGGGGCGGCGGAAAATTACCACGGTTCCTCTTAAAGGCGCCCGCACGTTTCCTGCTTGAAGCCCTTGCGCCAGTCGCCCGTGTAAACTGGAAAGTCTAAGTGGGCTGTCCAATTAATCTTCTTAAAGGAAAGAAAATTCCGTTGGAAGTCAATTCCCAGGGCAGCACGAGTCTATAATTAGGCAGATAATAGCGGAATAGGCTTCTTCATAACCAAGTTAAGAAAAGCAAAATAAAAATCTGAAATTTCGACTCTGATACAGAAAGATACTGAACACACAGGAACGGGGCAGAAGGAGCAACTTCATGAATAAAGTCACATTGACTATGCAACAGGTTTAAAAATGGGCTCTGAAGCAAAGAAATCTCATTTTCGACAGAGAGATTGACAAATTATGACATACTAAAAATTATCAAACAACAGGATAGAAGTGTTTAGGAAGCAGCAGGCTGGGTTTAACATGCATCAGAAAATTTATCCTCTTTATGAATCAGTTTTTACAGTAGAATAAACAATCTACAAGATTTTTCCTGCTTCTCAGTCATTAAAGAATTTTTTCTTCAGGTTAGAAGCAGCTTTTATGATCTACAAGTTAAGCAGTATTTATTGCTGTCTTACTTTTCAAAAGAACAAATAAATAACAATTCAGCTGGTTTTGCAACGTAAACACCTAGGGTATATTTCACTACACTCCGTAGCGCTGAAATTATTCCCCTTACCAAGCAATATTTACTAGAAGCCATCCTGGAAACAAGTGGATGAAATAGAAATATTGGTCTTCTCGAAGTGAAGCTCTTGACACATTAAATGTCTCTTCGGTCCATTTCAAAACATAAAAGATCATCCTTCGCTCTGTTCCTCCTCTGATGGTTTGCTGGGTGATAGCTGTCTTTTCCGTTGTAAACTGCCATCAGGCATACCCATCCACGGTTCTCAGGCTCTGGCTGCAGACACTACTGTGGGTATCAGAATGGATTCTCAGGAAATATGGAAGTGATGTTCCAGTCTTATCATGGCCCTGGCAAATTGATTTTCCACTCCGGACTGAGCCATTTTCCCCGTGCTTGTCGTCTATATTATTATGTCACATTACATTTCCACTCCAACTGCCTTTAGTATGTCCTCTTTTTTTTTTCCCACTGTAAATTCTCACATTCCAGTCACCACTTCTCAGTAATTTTTGACGGCCCCTTTTGTGTTTTTCAGAAAGCAGAGCCATGACATGAGTACTAAGCAAATGTTTTGTATAAGTTTACACACGATGGTGTTTAGCTTGTGATTTTCAGGTTTGGACGGCAGAAAAGGGACGACACTTGTGACATTATCTTACTTTCTAGGACCACAGGGAAAACTAATTACATGTAACAAAAAGCTGTGTCGTGTAGAGTTCTCATCCACTTTGAAGCTGCAAGGGAATGTGATTTAATGGAACGGGAACTGTGCCTTTGCAACAAAGATATGTGCAGCTGAAGTTGGTGCCTGCATTTTTGGCTTATGAGATATTTACCAGTGTTAAGAAATTGAAATCTGAAAATCCCCGCTTTCAGATAAGACGGTGTTTCTAACTTTTAAAATAGTCTTGTTGTAGAAAGCATAGTCTGTTCTAATACTTAATGGCTGCTGAATTGGCCAGTGCAGGTGCCAGTGCTGGACAGTGTGGCTCCCCCACTTCCTCAGAAGGGAAGTGGCATTTTACAGCCCCAGTCTCTGCGGGGTTTCTAGAATGGCTCTACCACCTACCGTGCCGGGAGATAATCTCCTCTTACCTAAGACTACTGCAGAATTGAGACAGAAAGAAAATATACAGGGAATTCAGATGGAAAGAGTCACCTGGATTTTCCCTCTTAGATCCAATTCTGTTAAGTGGCTAAGAGGCTAAATTAGTATAAATTAGAATGTAACTCTGATGGCTAAAATATAATAAAAGAATTTTAGAAGAAAGCAAAGTGTTTAGATGTGTGTAAAAAAACCCTGTAGTAAGCAGAGTTGGGAGATTTGGGTTGCTTATTTATATTGTAAAGATGATATTGCATAGTTCATAAAAATCTCTAAGAAGAATTGTGGGGCTGAACGCAGGAAGACAGGGTGTGGGAATTTAGCTTTTCATGTAGGGCTGCCAGATAAAACACAGGACATTCAGTCAAATTTGAATTTCTGATAAACAATGAATAATTTGTTTAGCATAAGTAATGTTTGGGACATAGTTACACTAAAAATATTGTTTGTTGTTTATTGGAAATTCAAATGTAACTAGGCAACTTGTATTTTTATTAGTTAAATCTGGCAATCCTACATTAAGGGCCTTAAAGAGGGCACATGTAATTGAGTTTTTGCACCTGTATTAGAGAGGTAAACACCATCAAAAGCTTCCGGTTCAAGGTCCCAGGCTGAGGTGAATGTGACACACACAGCACTCAAGTATGTTGTCCCAAATAAGTAACAGATGGCCACCAGGCACAGCCCATCAAAACATCACGAGCACTTTGCTATTACCTTGTTCACTCATTCATTCACGCATCAGTTATTTACTGAGTGCCTGCTATGTGCCAGGCATAAATTCAGGGAAGAGTAAAATAAACAAGGGAAAAATCTGTGCCTTTGAAGAGTCCTTGCTTTTGTCAGGTGGAATAACTTGTAAAGTGATAATTGTAATAAATGACCAGTGATCACAAGTTTCATCAGAGAGCTGTGGGCACATCAAGCTAAGTTTATCTAAGGTAGGGGGAAAACAGGAAGGCTTCAAAGAGGAAGCGACTTTGAATGAAGGAGACTAGGCTGGCAGAAAGGACATAGTAGAGGGAACTGCATGTGCAAAGGCAAGGAGTGTGAAGACATCGTGGGTTTTTAAAAAATCAAATAAAACAGGACAACCCACCAACAACTACAAAAACTGAAAAGACAGGTGTAACAGGAGCTACGGAGCTATGAGAGGGTTTGCTGGGAATGTCTGACAAAATTGGGTGGAGCCCATTACGAAGGTGAGTCTCCAGAGCTCAAACTCTCCTGTGGACAACGAGGACAGGTTCAGGGCTGTGGGGACTGGTAATTCATTCTTCCCAGTAATTAATCCATTTTCAATTCATTCCTTCCAAAAAAAAAAGTGTGTGTATGTGTATCATCTTGGGCTGAATTCATGGAGCATATAAATGAATATAATACCAATCCTACCTCCTAGATAGTCTCTGTTTTCCAGGGAAACCAGTCATGTAGACAGTTATACTCAATACAATGGGATAAACCACATTCAAAACACTGGGGCGACTCAAGAAGCATGAAGGGGCTGGGGGGAAATTTCCTGGGAAGGGTGGGAGAGGGCCAGCCAAGGCTTCCCAAATGAAGAGATGCTGGGATTAAGGTGTTTTGGAGTTTTTTAAATTTAACTAAATTTAATACTTTATGCAAATGGTTAGACATTTTCCCCAAAGAACAAAAAAGTATACAGTGAAAGGGAAATTTTTCCACACCTAGACCCTTGACTGCCCATCAGAGGCAAACCCACCATCCCATTAATAGAAATATCAATGTATCACTCCTCTCTCTTCTTTTTACACAAATGGAGTCATCTTCTACTCAGCTTTTTTTTTTTTTTTGAGGAAGATAAGCCCTGAGCTAACATCCACTGCCAATCCTCCTCTTTTTGCTGAGGAAGATTGGCCCTGAGCTAACATCCATGCCCATCTTCCTCTGCTTTCTATGTGGGACGCCTACCACAGCATGGCTTGCCAAGCGGTGCCATGTCCGCACCCGGGATCCGAAACCGCAAACCCCGGGCTGCCGAAGCGTAACGTGCGCACTTAATCGCTGCACCACCAGCCCGGCGCCCTCTACCCAACTTTTTATACCTTGATTTTTTTCATTTAACAATATTATTTTAGAAATCTGTACATATAGAGCTACTCACTTTTTTTTAATAGCCCCATTATATTTCATGGTAGGGCTAACTCAAAAATTTTTATACAGGACCAGCCCGGTGGTGCAGTGGTTAAGTTTGCACATTCCGCTTGGGTCGGTCCAGGGCAGGGTTCGTCGGTTCGGATCCCAGGTGTGGACATGGCACTGCTTGGCACGCCATGCTGTGGTAGGCATCCCACATATAAAGTAGAGGAAGATGGGCATGGATGTTAGCTCAGGGCTAGTCTTCCTCAGCAAAAAAAAAAGTGGAGGATTGACAGCAGTTAGCTCAGGGCTAATCTTCCTCAAAAAAATAAAAATGTTTATCCTAGTGCTCTATTGGACATGTAGGATTTTACAATCTTTTGCTATTACAAACTATCTTTGTATACATTCCTTTTTCCCTCTGTGGGAAGATATCTACAGGGTACATTCCTAGAAGTAGAATTCCTGGGTCCATAGGTTGGTGCACTTAAATTTGGATAGTCTTTGTAAAAACTCCCCTTCCAGGAAGTTATATCAATTTACGCTTTCATCATCAGGATAGTAGGTATGAGTTTTGATGAGTGAGTGGGAGTTTACCAGGCAGAGAAGAGAGCAAAGAGCATGTTTAAAGGGAAGACTGGTACAAGGAACAGCAGGCAGTTCAGAGCGCTGGGCTGGAGGGCTGGAGACCAGTGAGGAAGCAACCGGCCCAGGGAGAATGGGAGATGAACGTGAGTAGAAGATGGGTTAAGGAAGTAGAGGATTATAATCACTGCCGTCTACTGAGACCTGATCTGTGCCAGGCACCGTGCTAAGCACTGCGTACCGTCCATCATGTAATCCTCACAACAGAGAAAGGAATATCCCCAATTTACAGGGAAGGAAACCGAGGCCCAGAGATGTTAACCTGCCCATGGTCACACAGTTTGTCTGTGACAGAACTAGAATCCAACCCTGGCTTCTTCGGGTTCCCAGCCCCAGTTCTTAACCTCTGCTCCATGGGCTCCCGAAAGAACGAGGAGCAGGGTTTTAGGGCTATTTGATATGGGGAAGAGAGGGAGACTGCGGGAGACCCGAAGATAGTGATGCATGAGCCCAGAGAGCCCAGACCCTGCTGGAAAGTGCCCACAACTTGCTGACATAGTAACCAAGACTCTGGGGCCTAGAGTCTAGGACAGGAGACAATCTAGAGTCCCTCTTTTATTTCTGGCAGGACTGAGTTAAGGGGCAAATTTACAAGACCTTTGCCTTTCATTGCTGGGCACTAACTGTACCTGAGAGTGGAATCTGGATCTTTTCAAGATTAGGTAATTTTCAAATATTAATATATATTTCTTCTTCTTCCTCCTCCCACCTCCACCCACCTTCTTCATTTATATCAGCAGCAGATTTTAAACTTCAGCTCCTAGCAGACAGGTTTCTACGAGCTATATAGCTTCCAAAAGCTGTTCAAAGTCAACTGTCCCTTAAAAGAACTAAAAAGTAAAATATTTATCCATTTGCTGTCTTGGGTATTAGCTGTGAAATCTAAATGATAACACAAACCAACCAACAAATAGATCTAGAGCCGTTTTGAAAGCATTCGAGTGAATGAATCTTTGATCACAGATTTTAATCTCAGACGCACAGTGCTGGTATAGCAAAAAAAAAAAAAATCTTCACGTGTTTATTGCTGTGCATCTGTGGAATCAGACTCTTTAATAGCTGGCCTCAAATACCCAAGTCCCAGAAATAAGTCACTGCACTGGTACTGTCACCAAAAGGAAGACTACAATAATGATTGCCACATATGGTAGCTCTTAAAGCCCCAAAGACTTTTGAGTAAATATTCTTAACAAGCTGTGTTCTCCATCCTAGTGGAATGTATCTTATTCCAAGTTTAGTAATCAGAAGGACATCAAGAGAGACTAGGGTGTTTGAAGTATATAGGGGGTGATCAGAACTGAAATTACCCCAGGAAAGAGCGTCCCATTCTCTGAGGTGATTTGAAGATGGTCACGTAATGGCTCTGCTGATTGATATTTTCGCATTATTCATGCACTTGTTTTATTCCTCCTTACTTCTTGGTATTCCCTAAATCATTTTTAGAGAGCAAAGGAATGATTGTGGCAAACAGAGTTTAATTGTGGAAGAACAGACTATGGAATGGTTTCATGGTAGGGAGTATCTAAGTATTTTTACACTGATCTCGAGGAGAAACCTTACAACTACTTGGTCACTTTGCTTTCAACAGAGCTGTCTTTCCTGTCCTTGTGGATAAAGGTCTAGCAGCAAATCCATGATAAAACAACTGAAAATAACTAATAAAGTGATAATATATGATGTTCAGAGGCCTTTAGCCTTAAAAAAACAATACCCCCCACAAATGTTCTTTTATATTAGATAATTTGGAGAACTACAAAGTTTGTGTACTTGCAGCACACGGGAAAGAAACGTCAGCAGTTTCTTTTGTATCACATCTACACATATAAATGAAGTAGTTAAAAGGAAAAGAGGTTCTGTATTGCTGACAGGTTGACAGTGAAAAGGCTCCTCTTAAATATTTAACTTGAAATTAAACATCCATGTCTGGTAGTTATTAGGCACACCTCCATATAGAAAACAATATACTTAGAATATATGATTTATAATTTTCAAAAAAAAATTTTGAAAAGTGAGGGCAAAGTAGAAGAGACTTGACCTCAGGTGGAATGCTGATGCACAGTCATGAGAAGGCTCAAGATGGAACGCCATTAACTCAGCAATTTGGGGAGTCAAATATGTCTCAATAAACGTAAAAAGTTCACATTCATTGTAAACCTTATTTTACAAAAATATGTTAAAAGCTTTTTGTAGAGAAGTAGTCATGTCAACATTATCTATAACAGCAAAACATGGCAAACAAATTTGGTGTCCAATAGTAAGAGAACTCTTATGGTTAATTCATCTGATAGAATATTATGCAGACTCTAAAAATCATAAAGATTTTTATTTGACATAAGAAAATGCCCATTATACATGGTTAAATACAAAATGTGGGTTACAAAATGAGGTATGGTGTTATTTTAAGACAAATACAGACATACAATTTGTTTAATAGTGTTTATTCCTTGGTACTGGCATTCGGGGTGATGTTTTTTCTTTCTATTTTTCTGTACTTTCCATGTTTTCTTTTGAACATAATTTACTTTAGTAATATGAACTAAAACAACATATTTTTAAAAGTTAAGAAGGTACCAAATTGTACACACAACATAATCCCCCCAAACAAACAAATCTATGCCAAGAAGGACAAATATCTCTGAATTATTGGAGTACAGTTTCTTTTTTCTTCTCATTACTTTTCTGGTTTTTTAAAAAAAATCAAATTTGCTATAATGATATTTCAATTTTAAAATACATTTTCTCATTTCAACAGGAAGGCAGTGCTAATGAAA